TCTCTCTCTCACACACACACACAAAAGCCCAGGTCAAGGGGAAACAACCCAACAAAATAGTCACTTCGTCGACGAACACATTATATTTATTACTTCCCTTAGATAACAACGCGTTCCCTGTCAATGTTACGCCAAGAAGCGCGTGGTGTGCAATACCACAATAATATTATTATCATTGCTTAGAAAAGACGTAACTAATAAGCTAAAACTTTCTTTTTAATATTTTTAAATTCAATTCTTCATTTTTTTTTCTAAGTTAAAAAAGTTGACTTTTTTCTTAGTTCCCAAAAATTAACGAAACGTCACTTTATAGGTCTAAGGGCGATAACAACTTTATGCTTTTTCGTTCTTTGGTTCTGCTACTCTCCCTTCAAAAAGTCCGCATTTATTTGACCCACTTTTAATCACACGTGCTTTAAAAATCGTTTTACCCAAGAGCTAAAAAAATAGACATTATGTTTTTTTTAGTTTCAGCTCAGCAAAATCCTGTTATCACGAAACAGATTTATTTTCTATCAATATCTATAATTTTGTTAGTTTTTAAAGAGCAATCATTTGGTAACTTGTCCTTTACCCCGTTCTTAATGTTTCTTTCATCCGCCATCTTTGGAATTGAATGGCATTTTGAAGCTGGTCTAGGTGTGATGTTTCAGACAAAATAACGGCTACTGCCTTTATTTTGTTTTGGTAAACTATGCACCGGTTTATTTAATCCAGTCTTCTATTAATAATGGATGTGTATTATTGTGTCCTGTTCTTTCTTTGCTGTCATATGACAATGAAAACGTCCAGTCTCGAAACCCCATTCATCAGTCGCCGTAATGAAGGCATCTGATGACCACTCTTTGTCCATCGCGTCCGTTGAATGTCGCTCCCCTCATTTATGATCATGGCTGCTATGTCTTATTAGATTAAATCTTATAGACTAAAGCCAGGGATACGGAAGTCAGGTAGTCCCCGCTTTTTAATTAGAGAGGAAACATGATAATCATACTTCTTGACCTGGTTCTAGATTCTAGATATTTCACCATGTTGTTTTCAAGTCACGAGGATGCTGGGTACAGTACAATGAGTAACAATGACAATATAATAGTTCATAAAGTAGAATCTAATCTAGATTCTAGATCTAGGTTTAGATTCTAGTTGTATGAGAATAGGTTGATTAGTAGGTTTGAGATCTAGAGAATTTCTAGATAAGATTTCTAGATTCTAGATCTTAGATCTCGTTAGATCAAGATGAGGGGGGGAGGGGGGTATTATAGTTTCCGTTAGAATCTTCACCGTCTCACAAAGGATGAAAGGGTGTTATTTTGTAGGTTTTTTAGGGCCAAGAACACGATTTTGGCTTTAAAAAACTTTTCAAATGGTTATTTCAGGTTGTTGATGAATAGCGACACATTTGAGTTTGAATAAAAGGAAATAACGGCACTCCTGTACAATTGCGGTCCCCCGTTTAGGTTAGGGATACTAAGATAGGCTTACTTGTTTTGACCCCACGAACAATTACTTCTGGTTCTAAACGATTACTTTTTGATTTGCATGCCGATGGGCATATCGAGAGATAGCCTATCAAACCTAAGGATTGGAAGTGGCTATTCTCATCCGGGGTGAGAATAGAAAAACGATCTACCTCTCATCCCGGGTGAGACTTGCCAGTGTAGGCTATTCTCACCCGGTGCGAAACAAAACCTGCTTTTCCTCATTTTGGAATACTGTCTATCGGTGTGGATAATCAGATTGATAAAATCCAAGAAAAAATTATGTTATAGCACAAAAGTAAGCTAATTTGATCATCTTCAAAGATGCTATGGCTATTTCACTGTTCGAATCGAGCCGAACTAGGCGGGTCGCCATTTTGTTTTGCCCGGAAGTTCTCGCAAGATCTACTCCTCCCCCCTCTCTCTCTCGCTCTCTCTCTCTCTCTCTCTCTCTCTCTCTCTTTCTGAATCGGTGTGGACGATCAAATTGACCAAAACAACGTTAAAAAATGATGTTAAAACACAATAGTAAATTAATTTGGTTGTCTACAAAGATGCTACGGCTATTTAACTTTTCGAATCAAGCCGAACTACGCGGGTCGCCATTTTGTTTGGAAATTTTGTTTTGACCGGAAGTTCTCTCGCTACTCCTCTCTCTCTTTCTCTCTCTCTCTCCACTGCCCACAGACAAAATTGTACGCTTTTAGTAGGCTACAGTTGTAATGGAACGTTTGTTCACGGCACAGAATTCTACAATTTTTCTGTTATCACAGTGTAGAATTATGTGGTTTAGGGTGAACGCAAAATTTGTTGGCCTAGATCTAGGCTATAACGGTGAACGCGCACCGGGTGAGAATAGCCAAAAGACTCGCCTGCACTATTCTCATCCCGGGTGAGAATAGAGGTGGCCCAAACCTAATTACAAAACATCTAGATTTAGATCTAGAAATCTAGATATCTAGATCTAATTGTAAAATTGGTATTTTTTTACTTTCCCTCCCGTCTCACACTCAGCTACCAGTTGTCTATTTTCTACTAAATATTGATGCGCAGAACACGAATATCAACTTCATTTCCGTCGCAAATTAATAGTTTTTGAAATATTTGATTGTTTTTAACCGAGATAGACGTGCTTTGGACCAATCGGGGGGTTCCAGGGGGGCCTGCCCCACTGGGGTAAAAGAAAATCTGGGGGGTTACAGGGGGGCATGCCCCCCTGTTTTTAACCATAATTTGATATTTTACAGTTAGATTTGAAATTGTCTTGAAAATAATTGATTTGCGACGGTTTTAGTGGCTTTATGTGTGATCTGCAGCAAACAGTACTGCGGTTTGACCCCTGAAACAGTGCATCTGTGTGCGGGAGTGAAAGTAAAATTCTAGTGAAGTTTTACTGCTCATTTTGTAGGTTAGGTCTAGATCTAGATCTACTGATAAACATCGATACCGAATATCAATATCGATTTCCAGTAGTCTTTGTTTGTGTGATTTTGATTTAGTGCTAGAGCTAACGGGACCGCAATTGTACAGGAGTGCCGAAATAATTATGGATTAGGCCTAGATCTAGATCTAGATATATCTTAGAAATATCTAAAGCAAGAAAAAAAGCAAAAATATGACAAATCGGATTAATAAAATATTAATGAAAGCGTAGATCGCAAAGAGTTTTAGGCGATTCACACTAATCGGATCTTGTAAAAGGGAATAATCTAGATCTAGATATTAGATATATATATCTAGATCTTGATTTAGGCCCGACTGCGAGGCTGAGAATGAAAATGATGGGTCAGACGCGCCCCGATTGAGCTTAGATTAGAACATTTCCAACATTTTGTGCATAAAGTTATATTTTTCTGATTCATTTTTCTTTCTAGATCTAGATCTAGATTAATTGTTATTTTTTCGAGATTTTTGTGTATTTGTTTTGTGTTTTTTAAATGCTTGTATACACAAGTGTACCATGGTGGGTTCCTTCCACTTGTTTAGGATTTGGGAATAGACTTCCAGATTCTACCGCTGATAATCTGAAACGCTCCAAACTCTTGCCACAGCCATTTCATCAATATTTTATTCATCTGATTTCTTATATTTGCTTTTACTTGTCTATTCCATTGTTAATTTCCTTTTTGAAAATCAATTTTGTGGCTTTTCAACAAGCCGAAACAACCTTTGAAGTGTCAGAAATGCGATCGCACTCGCTAGGCTCTAAAACTGAAAGTACTCGTCCCAAAAAAAAATCGTTTCGGTATCAAACGGAAGGGGAAACATTTTGCAATAAAATTATGCAAAACAAAATCTCGGCCCCATAGTCTCGTTAGTAAAGACTCAGATGCCTGGGATATGGGATGCTTTCGGTTGGCCGTGAGGGGATTAAGATTAGGGGAAGATTGAAGAATACCGGACCACTCTTACATTATTGCATGAGAAAGTGGGGTAGGTGGGGCGGGCAGGGTTGGTGATTTTTTTGATAAAAATAAAAAAAATCGATTTTTAAAATTTAAATCAGATTTTTTTGATTTAAATCGGATTTTTAAAATTTTTTTTAAAAATTTTAAAATGTCGACACAGTTTGGGATTTTTGGTGGCTAAAAGTATGTTCTTTTAGTGCAAAATGCATTGTCTTTATTTGAACTAATGATTAATTTAAGCAACTGCAATTTTAGAAAGCCTTAATCTGCTATATCAGTGAATTATGGCTACAGACAAAAAATGAAGAAAATGTCAGTCTAAAAGGAAGGGGGGGGGGGGGGTAATTATGCATAGATAAACTTGCATTTTATTTTTATTACAGTGTGTGTGTGAGCACGCGCTTGTGTTTGTCTAAAAATAAAAATAAAATGCTAATTTCAATTATGAAAAAAAAGTAAATTGAATACTGTATTATTTTACTACTTACAGTGACAGGGGGGGAAAGCAGACTTTTAAGCAATTTTAGTCTACTAAACCTTATGTCTGTTTTATAAAACCAAGGAAAGGAATTCTGAATGTTTAAAGATGTAAAAACAGAAAACATTTTTTTAAAGTGATTTAAATCACTGAGTTTTATTTTTAAAATCAAGTTGATTTAAATTTTAAAAAATCAACTGATTTAATAAATCGACCCGATTTAAATCAAGCCAACCCTGGTTTTCAATTATGAAAAAAAGTAAATTGAGAACTGTATTATTTTACAGTGACAGGGGGGAAAGCAGACTTTTAAGCATGAATATATTAGTCTACTAAACCTTATATCCGTTTAAAATAAAACCAAGGAAAGGAATTCTGAAAGTTTAAATATGTAAAAACATTTTTTTGAAAAGTGATTTAAATCACTGATTTTTATTTTTAAAATCAAATTGATTTTAAAAAAATTTTAATCAACTGATTTAAATCAACCCAGCTCTGATTTCAATTATGGAAAAAAAAGTAAATTGAATACTGTTATTATTTTACAGTGAAAGGGGGGAAATCAGACTTTTAAGCTTGATTATATTAGTCTACTGAACCTTACATCTGTTTTATGAAACCAAGGAAAGGAATTCTGAATGTTGAAATGTGTAAAAACCGAATAAAAATAATTTTAAAAAAAAGTGATTTAAATCACTGATTTTTATCAAAAAAATCAAGTTGATTTAAATTTAAAAAATCAACTGATTTAAATCAACCCAACCCTGGGGGCGGGTGGTTGGGGTGGAGGAGGGGGGGTTCAGGGGGGTCTCCCCCATGACAAAACTTTAATGAATAGATCTACCGGTCCGAGATTCTCCATTGAGAGATATTAAAAACGGGAAAATTATGAATTCTTAAGGTTGAGACATAGGCAAAGTCAGTCTTCTGGTACGGTATTCTTCAATCTTACCTTAGGATATTATTTTAGGGCAGGGCCTTAATATGGATTGAACTGAAAAGCTGCTGTGGTTCAGATTAGTTTATGGATCATTTTTTTGTAGTCTTTAGTATTGATTTGATTGTTTCCTCTCATTTGTGACTATAGTTTGTTTACTATGCTGGTACCCCCCACCCTTCAACAAGGTGTGATCACTGTTCCCATTTTGTAGAGTACATTGGAGTGGAATGTCTCTTGTGGACTAAAGGCAACACTTAACCTGTCTACTACAAGAAGCTCTAACCTTGCACTCCTTTTTAAAAAAAACTTTTTTCTTGAAATTGTGTCGGCTAAAGTAAATTTACTGAAACTAATAGTTGGTAACGTGCATCAAAAGACACGTGTTGTCCCTCCCATCTAAAAAAAACTTGCATTTTTATGTTTGGCTTGCAGCCTACGGTCACTGCCTTGATTATTGAATTTTAAAAAAGAAAATTGATGCTTTTATAAAGGGTTGGTCTTTAGTATGGTTAAAGGTAAAGATAAATCAAGCAAGAAAACCTGCTTTTAGAGTAAATTGTAAAGTATTGTACATTCCATTTTGTCTGGTGGGGGGGGGGGGGGGGGCATTCGTTACATGCTGCGCTCACAAAAGCAGCATGTTTACATAGCAAGAGCCTTCAAGAACTACCGATTAGCTTCATGCATGAGACATCAACATTTGGTTTATTATGAAATCCTTTTGGCTGTGGAAACTGGTTACATTGTTGTAGCTTCTTCTAACCTTTAGGATGGAGATCCGGTCTACAAAATAGATGTGATGATAAAAATCATCATTTCTGTACAAAATGTGTAAAATTAGAGAATTACGTGGTCCATGAAAATATTTTATATGTGCCCAAAGAGGTTGCTTTGTGAAGTAACAGAAGTACCCGAGGGCAAGACTTGCAATTTCTGTCATGGTTCCCATATTGCACTCACTGACTTGACCTGTGAGCTTATTTAGACAAGGCTTGTGGGAATGGCCAGAACTCTCATGGAACTTGTCTGGGCTTCTGTGAAGTAATGAAACCTTTCTCTCTCACAAAGCAGTTGGCACCAAGTCGACTCTGTGGCTTTGTCCATAACCTTTTTTTAAGCTTTGTGAGTTTTGGGCTTACCAACATGTGGTGTATCAGTTATACTCACAAACTGGAGTTGTATACCGTTGCGGAGAAATGTGAATGTTTGACTGAGCGAGCAAGCGTCTCTCTTATCTGTCTGCCAGGGTGTGTATATCTCACACGACACACATCCCTAGTTGGCCTAAACAGGCTGGATCCTAGTCCTAGTCAGAGCAGCTTGAGATTTCTATGGGAACATTTTGTCAATAGGTGTTCTGTTGTTTTTTTCTCCTAAAATTACAACAAATTTGTTTTAGATGTTTTATTTAACGCTGACATTTTTTTTCTCTTCTTTTTTTGCGCCTTCCCCCCCTTAGGAGATGGATGAGGATACGGGTCGCTTTTTGTACCCTGCAGAAGCCTTTGAGAAAACCCCCAGCATCAGTGATGGCTACACGTCGCACCAAGAGCTCATGTATCGCCAGAGGCTGGCCATGCTCATGCAGAACATCGGCAGCAAATCCAACCTGTAAGTGAGACCTCTTTTTTGCGTGCGTGTGGGTAGTTTAATTTCTTTTTGGGTCTTAAATCTATGTTCTCATCTTAAAAATAATAATAATAAATAATAATAAATAGCATTTGTATAGCGCATACACCACCACCACCACCACCCTCCCCCCGCCGCTTTACAACAAGCTCTATCACATGAAATTTTTTTCATCTTGAAATTGACGATTGGTAACACTTTGTGATCAGGGGACGTATCAAAGAGGAAATGTGTGCTTGGGTATTGATTTCTCCCTAGGATTTCATGTGGTTGTGCTCCCTCTCATGTGTGAGGTTCACTCTTTTATCTGAATAGATTTGCAAATTTAAATTGTATGATCATTTTATAGAATCAACTGACAACTTTGAAGTGAACACGGATTTATAAGTCTTTGCTGAAAGAGAGCCGGAAGGTTTGGGTTATAGTTGGTGATAATAGTTCTTGAAGGACTTCTGAGGACTTGTTGTGATTTGGAGTATTTTGATGGCAATGTAGGTTCTAAGTTTCAAAATACAGGAGATAGTGCTCGTAGAAGAATTTCGTGTATTTGTATTGTATCTCTGTCGAATTCTTGATTAAATGTGTGTGTGGTTGGTGGGTACTCTGGTGTGGTTTGCTCCTTCTTTCTTGTCAAACATCTATCGTCCTGATCTCTCGTCCTTCTTTTTGTGTGTCTGTTCCTGTCTTGTAACACCTCTAATCTTCGGCACTTTTCATGTGACCTTATTGTGTTGCAAGTGCTGTAAAACTCTTACTAAAACTAAACCCACTAAATGTATTTTCGTTTCCTTTTCGCGACCTCCAGGTCCCAGCTGGCGGTCAACACCAGTGTGATTTACATGCATCGCTTCTTCATGTACAGAAGCATCAAGAAAGTCACTCGTGTGGTAAGTGTGAATCACGTGTGTGTGTAAGTGTGAATCACGTCTGTGTGGTGTGTACAACAGTACAACAGCTGATGGGGGGAGATTGACAGACTTACAGAAACACAGAAAGATAGTCTCTTTAAGACAGAGAGAGAGAGAGAGTGAGTGACGAATCCAGTGTGTGTGTGTACTTACTACAGTTGGTAGTTTGTTAATGCGGGGGATTGACAGACATGCAGAAATGCTGAGAGATAGTCTCTTAAAGACAGACTGAGAGAGAGACAGTGACTGAGGCACAGTAAGACAGAAAAAAATTCTGATAAAAATGTGAGCTCGTTTACAACATTCTTTGATCTTAGAGTAGGTAGAATAGAGGACTTACAGTTCTCCGATAAGGTCAAAAAAATTTCTGAGGTCCAGTGTGGAAATTCTGCACGTTAAGGATCCCTCGGCAGCTCTGAACCGAAAAACGTAGAGCTTTAAACGGGAAACATAAATTAATGCTCCTTAACTTTGTGTACCCAGTCTAACATCAGCTCGTTGTTTTCGTCCCCTTTTCTCACAGCACCTGGCAATCGCCTTTGTGTTCGCTGCTGGGAAAGTGGAAGAGAGTGCCCGGAAGCTGGAGCATTTGATCCGCACGGCAGTCGACATCATCCGGTACAGCAAGAACCGAGACTTCATTGAGAAGGGAGACGAGAATTGCTACCACACGGAGGGCGACCACCGGCGCAGGATGGACCCGCTGTGTGGCAGCGGCAATGCCACAGAACCCTCGGTGAGTTGGAAAAACAATTCTTTCCTTCTTTTTTCTTTTTTTTTTTTTCTTTTTTCAGCCGCTTTGCAACCTGCGTGCTATTTGAAATACCGATAAAAGTAAAAACAAGTTCTGTTTCACAGGGTTCCTGTTGCCTTTTGAATTCAAGGAGTCCTTGAAAACTCCTTGAATTCCATTGAAAAAAAAAAATCTTGAAAACTACTTGAATTTTGCAGGATCGGACGTGAATAAAATTCTTGTCAGACAGTCGAAACTACGATTCTTTTTGGACAAATGTAGGTAAGCCTGTCGGAAATATGCTTTTGGGGTGCAAGTGCAGCGTCGAAAATGGCAGGAATTTCTTGACCAAATCTGCTTGAATTTTAAAATTTTCTTTTTAAAACCTCGTTGAAGTGTCTTTGAATATGGGGATGAGTTTGTGGCAGGAACCCTGGTTTCAGTACTTCTGAAACTCAAGATTTCCTTTTTATGACAAGAGTTTATTTTCCTTGAGCTTGGAACATTGTGTTGACCCATCAAAGTGGGGAGAAACTGCGGGTTTGAGTTGCAACGGCAGCATGTGTCACGGCTTGGTGGGATCGGGCTCTCGTCAATTTGGGGGCACATGGAATTAGTTATTGGTAGCATCTCAAATCTTGTTCATTTGTCTTGCTCTCGGGGAGGGGGGGGGGGGGAGTACCTTTCTATCTTGAATAGAAGTCGAGACATTTGTGATTGAAGAAGGTGGTGTCAGAGATAAAATTAGCACGAAAAGGCCGCCAAAGTTCGGTGAATTCCAAAGCTCAAGTGGAAACTCCCAAGTATACGTCTTTTGTGCCTTTCATCGTTTTTATTTCTTGTTAAATAAAAGTCCATATGTATTCTTAAAGGATTACACGCTCTTTTCACCCCTCCCACATTTAAAGACACGATGGTCTTGTTTTCCTCTCCAGCTGTTCGCATGCCACTGCGAGCAACAGCGCCGCCCTGGTTACAATGGGAAGCCTGTGTGCCAGTCGCCCAATGAGAAGGTAAGGATCACGTTTTGTCCGGGATCGGTGTGCTTGGGGACAGAATGTTACAAAGTAACGCCAGAGACAGTGGTAAAGGCTTCGTCTACCTTTGTCAGAGACTTTCGTCTCTTGTAGAGAATGTGATTGGGGGGGGAGTATTGGTGCCTGGGAGATGTCTTGCACGTTTTTTTCAAAGTGGTTGAGAAGACAACGGGAGATTTTCTTTGTACAAAAATCAGAAAAGTTGTTGTAGCTGATTTTTGTTTCATGTGATTGATCAATAAAGAGAAAATACAGAGATGCCAACCAGTACGATTTTACGTATTTTATTACGATTTTGTGCCGAAAATACGCGAATACGACTTTTCATGAAAAAATACGCATCCTGGAACGCGAAAAATACGAGATTAAGCTTGGGCGAGTAAACCTAATTATCTCAAGTCCCTCTTTTGTCAAAATAGTATCTATCGCAGAACTGGAATATTTGAAAACCAAGTCCGATGTGGTCAATAAGTTACTTTTTGCCGGTCGCTATCGCATATTCGTTCAGCTTTTCCCCGCCTGGAGAGTACGTTTCACTTTCACACGAATAGGCAGCTATGGCGGCAGGCGGAAGCATGTTTGACACCAAGGCTCGATCGGGAAAATCAAGATCTACTTTCGCTTTCGTTACCGCCGAGAAGTTTGCCAGCAGTTGTCTGATAACGCAACATTTGTGGCATGCAGGTTGTGCAGTATAAACACAATGTCGCCGTGCAAATAAAATGTAATAAATACTTGGACTCGTCGCTGTGCTGTCACTTGTGGGGGGAAAAAAAAGAAAAAGAAAATACAAGCGTCTTCCGATTTTTAGATTGTCTGGCTCGCCACCGTGACCGGTCACTGAACCTGCGCGCATTCGCATCATAAATAACGGCATCGGGTGAGCAAAGACCGTCTTTGGTGGGAGTAGCGGCGCTGCGAAGTATATGACTACAGCATAGGGGAGGAGATTATTGATTTTTTGGGAGTATAAGATACTATCGGGGGGGGGGGGGGGTTAAGGCAACACCAGAGGACAAAAATTTGGAAGCACATTTCAGAATTTTGATTAGTCTTGTGCAAAGCGCGCGTTGGTGCAGGCCGTGTGCGGAATCGGGACCCCTCATACTTTGCAAAGTCTGTGTTATTGAAATAAAGTGTTCGCGTTTCATTGGATGGGTGATAATAAATTATACCTGCAGTGTATGTTGTAGCTTTCTGTTCAAGACTGGCATATTTTCAGTGTCACTGCATCTTGCCCTACCACAGTTGTTACAACTCTCATGGTGCATGGGTCTACTTGAGCCATTCAAGTTATTGCTTTTCTCTGAGTTTGAGCAATAATTTGAGTCTGTCAGTTCATAATATGAATCATGACACCCAGACTGGTTCTTGATAGTCGAAATTTTTGTTGTAGGCCCTTCCGAGCTCTCAAAGCAGGATTTATTTTTTATATAATAATGAGAGGAAAATATTATATAATAGACTGAAATACTTAAGTCAAACAAGACCCCAGTACGACACTGAACACTAACATGTTGTTGACTGGATACATGTATATTGTACGCGTGTGTGCTCCCTTTTTCGAGCTGGTGGGCAAGTAATTTTTTTTCAGGAAACATTGCTGGACACCCTGAACATTTTACTATTACTGGTTGGTCGGTCGGTCGTGGGGAATACACATTTTCCCCTGAAAATACACATTTTCATATTTCCCAATACTCATTTCGGATTTCTGTGGTTGGCATCTCTGGAAAATATAAGAAAAAAACAACATTAGTTCCTTTTTTTTTCTGTGAAAGTAGAAATTTGTTAATTTGAGTAGTCTAAGGTCTTCCTGGATGGGGGTACGCATTACGTAATTCATGAAAGTTTTGTTTTAGTTTGTTAGTCTTTTTTTTTTCTTTTTTTTTTCTTTCACTCTTTGGTTGTATTTTACTTTGATGCTTTGCATGTTGCTCGACAATAGAAGCCCATTTTTCATTAACTTACGGGCTTCTCTTTTGTCGACAGGCCTTCATGGACATGAGGAAGCTCATTCTCGATTACGAGATTGAGATCTACTCCACCATTGGTAGGTTGAGTTTTCTGGAAAAATCTCTAACCTACTTTTGTGTAGTCTGTGACTCAAGCTGTTTACTTGTTTGTTCACACGTGGTTATACCTCACCCTGTACGATAGGTGGGGGGGGGGGGGGGGGGCTGCTGGAAATAAACTTGATCGAGCCCTCATTCGATGTTTTTGTAACTTGCCCTGCTGATTTTTCAATGCTCTTCAGGTACTTGGCTTATACATGTGGAAAATTGGGAGGTCCCGTCCCGTCTCTCTCAGATAATGCGACGTTGTTGGGTTTTTTTAAAAATAACTTTGTCCTGTCGATTTTTCAACGCCCTTCACACACTTGGCTCGTACATGTTAAAAATGGGTTGTGGAATTAGGAGGTCCCGTCTCTCTCATCTCAGATACTGTGGCAGTGTTGGGGTGGTGGGCCCGTGCTGGCAAGTTGAAGGTTGTCGGAAAGTTCATTTTGCGGGTGTGTCCACAAGGTTTAGAAAGTGGACAGCTTGGCACAGACGAAATGTTCTGGTTTTTTTACTAACCGCTGCCTCAGAATTACTAAGTTCTATCTGCTCAGTGCCTAGTTTTGAGAAATTTGACGGAAAAATATTAGTGAGTTTCTCAATATATAAAGAGCTTTTTCGAATGCAATTCCTTGAATACCTTGATAACGAACGACTTGGAGTAATCTTACCATTTTCATAGAGCAGATAGACTATTTACTTTCTGACCTCATGGTCTTAAAAACTCAGAACGGCCAAAAATGTCAGATAGAGCTTTGTAATTTAGATTTTTTGAAAACCTGTCTTTTTTACTAATGTGCCTGGTATTCATTTTTCCTAAACATTTCCTTTTTTTGTCCAGGGAAAAAAAATAGCAACTTCCTCTTGGACCAAAAACGTGTTACAAATAAATGAATGAATGGACAATCAGTTTAGAATAAAAAAGTGCAAGCCGCCATTTAAAATAATGAATTTGGGAAAAGTGACAAGGCCAAATTGTCTTCACGTTGTAACATTGATAAATGATCCGTGCCAAGAAATGGACAAGAATTCAAACCAAGAAACAGCAAACGGTGCAGCCCCAAATTAAATACAGCAATGCAGACGGGCTGCATAATAACAAAATGAAATGCAATTCTAATGAACAGACGATTTTTTTTTTTTTAATGTAATGAAATACCTGACAGTGAATCACATTTTAAGCCACATTTATTTAATATATTTTTTCCTGACTTTCTTATGGCTGCGCTGTGTTAATTTAGCTTCTGTATATATGCAGTAAGCTTTGCGAAATGAGGCACATCAATTGAATATCAACAATCAAAAGTTCATTATCCCTCCCTTCTGAGTTATTTTACTAACCCTCCCTTCTGAGTTATTTTACTAACCCTGCGTTTTACTAGAATTTGCCAATTCTCAAAAAGGGACACCTTTATATGAACAATACTAATTGCCCCCCCCGACAGCTGTATTGATTGACAGATCCTCGTTAACACAATGTAAATTTTCCACACCAAAACAACTCATGGGTCTCAATATTCCGTTATTTAGCGGATTTCCGCTACCTCCATTTCCTCCACTAAACTCCACTACTGCAATAGGGGGCCAATCAGAAGATATTTAATGATAAATGGGTGTCTTGCGAAAAAGGTCTTCTGTCACAATCAGCCGGAAAGTTCCTCCCTTTTTAACACTCTGAATTGAGAGCCATTCAACTTTACAAACCCAGATCACTCGTTTGAGTCGTATCTCTTGATGTTGTCCGTTTGAACTACCGTATAACATGGATAGCTCGAATTTGGCGGGACCGGCCTCGGTAGTTCGAGGGGTGCGTAGTTCCAGAAATATTCTACAAAGATAAAGAAAGAAGAAGAGAAATCTGACTGCAGGCACAGTTTGACGGATGCCTGATTTCGAGTCTTTCTGTGTTCGACCTATCCTTGTTATACTTTATTATTTAAATTTAACACGAGGACAGTATTAGAACCCTTACTTTAAGACTTCCAGCCGCACTATTTATACGTGTATAGCATTTTTGTACCTATGATTACTATGAACTCAACTGTGAACTCTTCCCCTGGCCCTGCCAGCCTTTTTTTTTGTACAGATTGATTGTTTTGTGTAAATTCTCTTATCACAAGACAGTTTGTTTCTATTGTATTTGCTAATTTGTTTTTAAGTAAAAAAAAAATAAATTTTAAAGTAATCGGATCTTGCTTTTGAAATGCAAATTATGTATGTCGAACGATAACGTTGATATTTTGAAGTTATTTTTATTTTTGTTTGATTTTTTAATTTAAAAAATTTTTTCAAGTTCCCGAAGACTGGCTATGAAAAGTTCATAATTTTTTTATTCAAAACTCTTTCTGTTTTTGAATTTTGAAAAGCTGTATATCAGTATCTGTGGCATGTTGTTTAATCATGTTTTCCTTTTCCTCCCCTCGTGGCAGGTTTTCACCTCCAAGTGGTCCACCCCCACAATTACGTGATCCGAATGTGTGCCATGCTGGGAGGTAAGGCTCGAGAGGAAGAGTGTAGTGAGAATGACCAGATCCCCGTGGTTAAAAAAGGTATTTGTTCTAGACCGGGGACTTCTCACATTCATTGGGAACGGTGTAGAGTTTTAACATTTACAAACGGGAAGAGAGTTTTTAAAATTTTTTAAAATTTTAACACAAGTTGTGTTTTTTTTCGATCGGGAAGAGAGTTTTAATAATGTTACACAAGTTTGTTGTTGTTGGGGTTTTTTTTTTCATTTGAGAAATCTAAATTTTAGCTGGGACTGGTGGGTAGGACTTGTAGAGGAGAGTTGTTGTTTTAATTTGAGAAATTAAATTTTAGCTGGGACTGGTGGGTAGGACTTGTAGAAGAGAGTTGTTGTTTTTTTTAATTTGAGAAATTAAATTTTAGCTGGGACTGATGGGTAGGACTTGTAGAGGGGAGTAGAAAGTGTTGAGATTGTTATTTTGGGGAAACTGGTTATTTGTACCTCGTTGAAGTTGTTTGCTATTTTTTTCTTTTCACATGTTGTCCAATTATTAGACTTGTACTTGGTCATCAGTGCTTAAAATCAAGTTTTCGAAAGCTTTCTTTAAATGTGTATTTCATATAACTCGATTTGTAAGAGAAAAATTGCTGTGGCGTCGGTCGGACCCGTAGTCGTGAGATTGCGATTTTGGGGGGTTCGAGCCTCAGCTCGGTCTGACTTTGTGTCCTTGGGAAAGGCACTTTACATAAATTTCCCATTTGTCTCGGTCCTTTCGGAGATGGACGTTGAACTCTGAAATAAGCTAACAGTGTTGATATGGGCGTTAAACCTATACTACCTTTTCATCATTTTTTGCCCAGAAAAATTGCACACATGTTTTGATCGTTTTTGCAAGTGTAGGATGTAACAGTAATGCCACTCATGTATTGAACAATAATGCCGCTCTTATATTTAGCAACAACACCACTCATGTATTTGTTGTTTTTCTACTTTCAGCGGAGAACATCAAGGACATCAGCCAGTATGCCTACAATCTCGCCACTGCCAGGTGCGTGTTCCTCCTTTGTCCTTTCCTTCCCCCGCCGTCCTCTTAGTTTCTGTTCCCTAGATGGAAATGAGTCACAGGGGCGTTCATTACTTGTAGCTTCCACTCGGTGATTATTCTGGGGTATCGACTTATCAATTTTATCTTGCTCTTTTTTTTCTTTTTTTTTAAAGAATAAGATGACAGTTGCGGTGTGGATTTGCTTCTCTTTGTCTAAAGATTTATTAGTGTCAACATTGTAAAGTTCAGTCTCTGAGACTTGATCACGGTGATAAGAAAGCTAGTGGGTGGTTGGCGGGTGCTCTGGTGTGGTTTGCTCCATCTTTCCTATCAAACATCTATCGTCCTTATCTCCCCTCCTCCTTTTTTTTATGTTTGTTACTCTCTTGAACACCTCTAAAATCTTCTGGCGCTCATATGACCCTATGCAGTTGCGAGCGCCGTAGAAGCTCTACTAAAACTAAAGCTAAAAAGAAAAAGAAAGCGAGCAGTTTGGACAAGTCTTCTTTTTGTTCTGTTGGGTTGCTTGTGGTGGTGGTGGTGGTCTACTCTTTCCTTCCTCCTTTTCTGTTTGTTGTGTTGCTCCACTCCTGGGAACACTTGTGGGTGGTTGGCGGGTGCTCTGGTGTGGTTTGCTCCTTCTTTCCTATCAAACATCTATCGTCCTTATAAATCTCTCCCCCCTTCATTTTTCGTTTTTGTTATACTCTCTTTTAACTCCTCTAATCTTGGTCGCTTATATGACCTGATTGTGTTGCAAGTGCCATAAAACACTTACTGAAACAATTCAGTTTCTGAGACTTGATCATGGTAAAAAGAAAGGTAGCAGTTTCGACAGTCTTCTTTTCTTTCAGTTGGGTTGTTTGTGGTGGTGGTGGTCTACTCTTTCCTTCCTCCTTTTCTGTTTGTTTTGTTCCACTCTTGGGGCAACTTGTAACGCTGAATGTGTGTTGGTGTGTCTTGTTCCACTCTTGGGGCAACTTGTAACGCTGAATGTGTGTTGGTGTGTCTTGTTCCACTTTTGAGACAACTTGTAACGCTGAATGTGTGTTGGTGTGTCTTGTTCTACTCTTGGGACAACTTGTAACGCTGAATGTGTGTTGGTGTGTCTTGTTTCACTCTTGAGACAACTTGTAACGCTGAATGTGTGTTGGTGTGTCTTGTTTCACTCTTGAGACAACTTGTAATGCTGAATGTGTGTTGGTGTGTCTTGAGACAACTTGTAATGCTGAATGTGTGTTGGTGTGTCTTGAGACAACTTGTAATGCTGAATGTGTGTTGGTGTGTCTTGTTCCACTCTTGGGACAACTTGTAACGCTAAATGTGCGTTCGTGTGTCTGTTGCAGCTCCCAGCTGACTGTAATGTGTCTGAAGTACAAGCCAGACCTCATCGCCACAGTGTGCCTCAACATCGCATCCATCGCTCACTGCATCAGGGTAAGTTGGCTGGGATTTGTGTGGGGGTTTTTTTTTGGGGGGGGGGGGGGTTTGTTGTTTTTTTCTTTAAAAAAAATTTTTCAGTCGTTTTTTTTGGTGCTTTTTTTGCCGTGCGTCTGTTTATGTAGAATGAAATGGTGCGGAAATTTTTTACTGCAAGTGTTTGCTCGCATCGGACTTGCCCACCGGAGGTATTTTGGCTTTCTGTCTGTAAGACGTACGTTTTACTTAGCTGTAGTTCAAGTCCTTTGTCGCTTGTGATCCGTTCCCTGACAAGTGTTGCTTGCTGCAGTTCTCAGATCAAGATTGATAAATTGAACGGACGAATTTTGTTTTAGAAAGATGACGTAATTAAAAAAAACATTTCTGTACAGAACGGTTTCATTTCAGTTCTAGAGATTTCTTGCAAGGAAAATTCACCAGGATGAACCTAACCATAGATTTAGTGAGCCTGGCAATTTGTACAATGCAGCCTACACTGCAGCATATCTTTCTCTCTTTCTCCCCTCTCTTCCCATAGCTTACTCGCATGAGTGGGTGGTTGGTGGGTGCCCTGGTGTGGTTTGCTTCTTCTTTCCTATCAAACGTCTCTCTCGTCTTTATCTCCCCTCCTTCTTTTTTGTGTTTGTTACTCTCTTGTTACACCTCTAATCTTTGGCACTTATGTGAACTTATTGTGTTGCAATTGCCGTAATACTCTTACTAAAAACAAGAACTTACTCGCGCGATGTGTTGCAAGTGCCGTAAAACGCTTACTAAGAAAAGAACTTACTCGCGCAATAACTTCCTAACGTTGATCTATGTGATTTTTTTTTTCTATTTCAGTTTATGAACATGAAGGACCAGACCCATCACTGGTACCAGGTGCATGATCCCACCATGGAGGTCACCGTCCTGGAAAGTATGTACTCGTCTGTGTGTGTGTGCCTGTTTGTGCGTGTGTGTGTGAGAGAGAGAGAGAGAGGGGGGGGTGGTGTGACTCAAAAGTATGTACTGTGTGTGTGAGGTGGGGGGGGGGGGGGGGGGGGGGAGGGAATTAAAAAAAAAAATATTGTTCTTGTTGTTTTTTGGGGGGGGGGGGGGGGTGATTCAAAAGTATGTACTGTGTGGGTTTGTGAGTGTGTGGGGGCTCGAAAGTATGTACTGTGTTTGTGGTTATGTTTGTGTGTGTGAAAAGAGGGGGGGGGGGGGTTGTGACTCAAAAGTATGTACTGTGTGTGTGTGTTTGTGCCTTTACAGTAATTGTAGATAGCCTTATTTTAACACCGAAATATTACCTCCAATTTTTTACATTTTAATCAAAATATTGAGCTAAACCAAGCCGTGCAGTGAATTATTGTGAATGGAACAAACTTGTGTTTCGCACGCTCATATAACCTGATGCAGTTGCGAGCAGCGTAAAATATGACCTCTTTGTGTTGCAAGTGCCGTAAAACACTTACTAAAAAAAAAGAAAATGATAATGTAGGAAAAGTAATAATGTTACTTGTGCTTTTGTAGCAGTGTTTCATCCTATACTAAGTTTGCGCTGCCTAATTTTTCTCCCCCTTAGGTGTGACGGAAGAGTTCATGAACGTGATCAAGGACTGCGCGCTGCTTCCCACCTGGATGACTAGCCTGAGCAGGGTAGGTTATACGTGGTTGCCCTCGTGGGATGGGCACATTTTGTCATGATTGGTCACTTTAAGCACAAGGGGGGCTATCCTGAAAAATGCTGTTTTGAGAAAAATGGAACTTGAAGTTTTTGCCCCATTGTTCAGTTTCTTTAAAAGACAAGGAGAGTTTTCTCTATAACCAAACAAATATACACACTAATGAAACCATACTTCTCCTGCAGGTAGGGCAATGCCCACTTCTGGTGTAGGTCAAGATTACTGGAAACCCCTGAAATCTTGGTTAGCCCGCTTGTCCTTAAAAGCGACCAAATAATAAAATCATGAAGGCAACAATTTTAAAAGCTTGGGAGATTAGTAACTTTACAAATACTTGTAGTTTTTGTAGAAATGTGGAAAAAGTTGTAGAGAGAGGAATATAAATTGATAAAAAGAATCTCAAATTTCTTCTTGCTATTGTCACGTCAGTTGGTCCGCTTCTCCTCCAGCTCTCTGATATATCTCCTCTCTGTGGCTTGTAGTTCATCAGTTGCTCACTCCACTCGAGCCGTAATCTTTTAGGGATGAATGATAAGTCTAAAAAGCGGACATATTTTGACTCTTATTCTTTGTGCCTCCGTAGGTGGTTGGCGGGTGCTCTGGTGGGGTTTGCTCCTTCTTTCCTATCAAACATCTGTTGTCCTGGTCTCTCCTCCTTCTCTTTTGTGTTTGTTACTCTCTTGTAATATCTTCAGCACTTATATGACCTTATTGTGTTGCAATTGCCATAAAACTCTCTCTAAAACAAACCAAATTGTTTGTGTCTCCAGCAGGGTGGACGCCCGGCCGCCCCCGTCTCCAAACCCTCGTCCTCAGCATCTTCCTCGCAGGGCAACGGCCAGCCCCCAGCCTCCTCCTCCTCCTCCCAGAGGGTGGGCCCGTCAGGCTATGACGCTTCAGGGCAGCACAGCAGCTCCTCATCTCACGGTCAAGGTCGCGGGATGGCCCCCTCCGCTGAGGGCGGTGCGTTTGCCGCTGGCGGAGATCATCCCTCGTCTTCTCAAGGACACCGATCTGGCTCGGGTCAGCACGGTAGACCCCACGGACCTCCATCGGCGACGGCTGGCTCCATGAGTGGCATGCGACCTCCTCCGTCGTCGTCCTCCTCCCGCTCCCATGGGGGCCCGCAGCATCATCCCTCGCAGCAACAACAACTCCCCCCGCACCACCGATCTCAGAAGCCTCACGCCGGCAACAACAACAACGGCACGACACACCACTCGTCGCGCCAGATGCCCCCCGGCTCGGCCCCCCCTGGAGTCATGCCCCCCCAGGGTTCCTCTTCCTCCTCCCGGCAGCTGCAGCAGTCGCGACCCCCCTCGTCTGGACACTCGGCCAGTGGTCGTCCGTCCTCCCAGTACCACCCCGGCCCGCCCCACTCCGGACAGCAGCCATCTCATTCCACTAGTCAGCCGCAGCAACAGCAGCAGCAGCACCCTCCTCGATCTCACGACCCCTCGCGACCCCGGGGCCCCCACGACCAGCATCGATCATCCCACGACCCATCACGCTCGTCTCACGGCCTGCCTCGCGCCGCTGACCACAGACGGCCGGACCCTATGTCGGACTCTCGTCGGGCGCCGCCCTCTCACCCGCAATCTATGCAGCAGAGAGACGATCATCTGAGCCATGAACGACCTCCCTCCACGCAGACAGC